CTGGCTTTAAAGATGTGGCCATTTATAATCCCGAGCAAGACAAATGGCTTAACCTGGAGTCAGCACCAAAGATTCTTCGTGACGTCAAAGCTGTTTCTGTAGAAGACCGGTTTATTTATGTTGCTGCTCGTACCCCAGTTGACAGCGATAGCGAAGATGGATTGAGGGCGGTTATTATCAGATACGATGCTGAAACAAGGCAGTGGCAGGATGTGGAGTCTCTGCCACTCATTGATAATTACTGCTCTTTTCAGATGTCTGTTGCTAACACAAACTTTTACCATACAGCGTCCTGCTGCCCCAAGAGTTACCCTATAGATAACGAGGAAGCCAAGATGAAGATCTCTGGCAGGGCCTCGGATGAAATACTTGAAAGCTTACCCCCAGAGGTTCTTAGCATTGAAGGAGCAGCTATTTGTTATTACAAAGATGATGTTTTTATCATTGGGGGGTGGAAAAACAGCGATGATATTGACAAGCAATACAGGAAAGAGGCCTATCGTTACTGTGCTGAGAGAAAGCGCTGGATGCTTTTGCCTCCTATGCCTCAGCCTCGCTGCAGAGCGACAGCCTGCCACGTGAGAATCCCCTTCAGGTGTTTGCAGGGAACACAAAGGTACCCTATGCCACAAAATTTAATGTGGCAAAAAGATAGAATAAGGCAAATGCAGGAAAGGCAGATGCAGGAAATACACCGACATTCGCTAAGCTTACGGAGAATGCCACGCTCGCAGATTGAGTGCTAGTTTCTGGACTATCACTCCTAAGGAAATACTGTGCTAAACCGTTTTGTTAGTCTTGATACGCCTTTATAAGACATGAGGGTGTTGATTGGATTTGATGCATAAAACCAGCATCGTTTATATATTGAAAATTAAGCAACACAGAAAGTGAGGATGGGCGGGAATTGAGGCGCTGTGTGAGTCCAACAGTATTACTTAATGGTGCCCAGGAAAAAACTGTAGTCTGTAATGGGCTGTGAAATACCTCTGGGAACATTAAGTCAGTTACTTCTCTCTTCAGATCTTTGTTTTCAAGGATTTCTGTAGAGTTAGTCTCTAACAGTTCTATATTGAAAATCAAAGATCTCTATCTTAATAATTTAGTGGTTACATTTGTGTGTGCTTGAAAGCACCTGTTTTATTTGCACTTATATATTGACATTCCTTTGATTCTCTCCTCAGTGACTAAACTTCACATATACTTGGTGTTGGTGTACTTGGCTTTCCCAAGTTGGAGGCAAGTGGAATAGTTATACCTATCTATGAAAACAAAAGCACAATCTTTATAAAACTACTTCAGGATGTTTCTATGTGTACTAAATATTTTGTATCTGTATGTTGTAGAGAGGCTGCAGAGTTCGTTTATAAATGGATGATTGGTAGAACACAAGAGACTTGCTAAAACAGAGAACTTGAGGCAGTAGATTTTTTTTTTCAGGTGTATCTGAAGATGCTTTGAGTTTGTCCTCGACAGCTTCATTAGAAACTTGGGTCAACAATCAGCCTGAGAAAAGGAGTGAAAACCAGCAAAGTAGCCACCCACCAACATCAACACTTCACTTCTGTCACTGTGGATTAGTAAGGAGGTTATTTCACAGTAATAGACTGAAACCTGAGCTGCTTGTAGGTCCTTTCTCAAACATTGCACGTGGTTTAATTCTAGTGAAAAAGTGATCAGAAGAACCCCCACGAGCGTGTTTCCAGCCTGTCTTTGACAATCAGTACCCTTTGCCTTCAGCATACTTTCCCGAGACCCTTAGAGTAGCAGTGCTGCAGTGCTCCTTAACAAGTCGGCACTTGGTGTTCTGCTTGAAGGGAGATAGTTGAGTTTGCGTAGTCTTTAAATATTTTAATTTCCCTGCTTACTGTGGCAGGAAGATTTAAGCTGATTTAGGTACCGTTTGGCGTTTTGAGGTGGTTTGACACAAATCAATGCCCTGGTTGGCTCTGGTTTGCTTACTGCTCTACTCCCAAGGAACAGAATGTGGAGTGTTTCCGTTAAGAGTATCACTGCCTCTCAGTTAGCTATGCCGTTGAAAACGCCTTCTCCCTGATCCGAAGAGCTCTAGGACAGTTTAGGTTACTAGCGGATTCAGTGCATCCTCCCTACCTCCTTTTCTTCCCCATCCTTCCTTTCCTTTGAATGTTCCAGGTTTTCACGTGCAGCCTAACTCAGGATCTTAGGGAAGGGAAAGGGAGGAGTAACCAGGGTGTTCCAAAATTTGTGTAGACAAACATTGTTGGAGAATCTGTTTACTGTCTTTGGCTCATATGATGATTTGTTGGTGTTTTTGATGTGGGCAACTTCTTTGCAAAAGAACTTCTAAACAGTTTGGTTTTTTGTTTTGTTTTTTAATTGTTTAGCTTTCTGAGCTGATACTTCTCACTTTCCAATTCAGCAGGCAACCTAGATCATATCTCAAACACTGGGTAAGTCTTTCAACCACATAGTATGTAAAGGTTTCTCTGATGTGTACATCCCTTAATGCTCCACTTTGCAGTTCACTTGCCACTTTTGATATCAGTAACTTCTCTTTTTGTAATAAAATAATCTAGCTTTGTTTAAAAAAACAAAACACAAACACACAAAAACCCCTTTGAAAATCTTAACGGTTTAGTCTCAGTTTACTCATCTGTGGTAACTGTGTTGTATTTTATTTGCCTGTTGGATTGTTATGCAAGGGCAGATTAAATTGTACGATGCTGGCCTGATGCAGGAAAGGAAATAGGTAAGCTTGTTCAGGTTTAAGGCTGATGTTCAGAAGTGACTGTTCCCAGATCAGCTCACGCAGGCCTGTAAGCAAGGGGTTAATCAGTGGAGTTTGGCCCAGGAGCTCTTGCAGATTTGTCTGGAGTAGTTTAAGAACTACTGCCCCTACAGCAGGGTTTGTTAATAGAAGTGTGAAAATGCCTCAGGGCTTTAGTACTAAATCCATTGATTTACCTTAAATTTGTGGGAGCTCATTTTAAGATACTCTACCAGACTTTGCACAGAAGCAACTGAGAAGATTTTATGTACTCCATCCCACTGACTGTGCTGTAGGGATTTTGAAGAAGCAGTTGAAGGATGGCAGTATGTCAGACCACCACAGCTCTGTCAAAGCCATCTTGTAGTCTGTCAACAAATCTGGACAATTTGTAGGGAGAAATACCAGGATGATTATTTCAGTTGGAATATGAACTAAATAGTTTAACATGCAGCAGCATGCAACAAAGTTAGATGCAAGAACAAACTTCTTGCAGTCTGTCTTTTTCTAAGCAAAATTGATATTGCACTTACCATGAGAACTTTTGGCTGACATTCAAGCTGTATTACTAAAGACATTCCAGTCAAAGACGGTGTCAAAACAGCTTCGCGTCTGGAGAGCCGAACTTGTGAATGCCAGCCATGATTCTGTACGTGATGCACTATGTCTCCGTATATTCTATTTGCATGGTGAGTGATGGGCACTGTGAACAACACTGGTTTGCTCTAACTTTTGCTATGCCAATTCTATGGAATTTTTAAGTAGTCAGGGTTATTTTTTAGCCTTGTCTTTAAGTGGACCAATTGCATTGCTCATGGTTTTTAACTGACAAGTCTAACTATCCATTGTATCACATGTAGGTGTTCGGAAGAATAGCATTATTGACTCTGGCTGTAATTTAGCCTGCTAACCTGTGAATCACATAACAAATTCCTTGTGGCCCCTGACTGCCGTGGCTTGCTGAGTGTTTATAAAATGATCCTATAAATAAAAGCCCGTGAATTCTTTCAGTGTGTTTATAGTGGCTGGTTAAATGTCAGTAAGATCCTAGTGTGTATTCGGTGAGTATTAAAAGGCTGACTGCTGGCCTTCCTAATGTAAAAGACCATCAGGTGGAGTTTTTCCTCCTCCTTATGACAATCATACCTCTGTACCTGTACTGAATACCTGCCACAAAATGCATGTTTCATGTCCTGCCTTTCTGCTCAAAGTATTAGTGAAGTAGGGCACGTCCTGCCTAGCACTCAGCAGTCATTGTAGTCATTCCTAGGTGCCCTATGTGTACATAGTATTTTATAACTACCTGAATACTGTTAGTATGCTGGGTTTGTTTGTATTTTTAATAAGACTTTCTCTTGCACATAGTAGGATACCACTCCAGAAATGAAGAAAACCTGCCAACTTCTAGCATGCATTATGAATAACTATGCCAAGCATTCTGCTATACTCTTTCAGTATCATTTTTCTCCATTACAGTAAGTGTTAAAATCAAAACTCTTGGCTCAACTTGTGTGTCACAGAATAGACTGATCACTACTGACAAACTGACTCACAGAGAATTACAACTTTTTAGGTTATTTCTAACACAACCTTGTAAGAGTATGTTGTAACATTCGATGGGCTTTAAAAAGCAAGCTTAAAATAAGTGGTTTATGGCTTAGATTTGTTTTCAGCTGTGGCCACGTTATGTTAGGGTATAAACTGTATCTCTGATTTGGCAGAAGTCTGATAAAACAGGTGCTCCTGAGGATCTAGTCCTGTTACTAATATGAATGTAAAGTGTGGAACTAACGAGATGTTTGAAGACCATTAATAGTCAGATACTCCTCTTAGGTCCATGTCACTGTGGGTCACGGCAGCTGCGCTTTCCTGTCGATATTAATGTAGACTTCAGCAGATTGCTTGGGGAAGCAGCACTCCTGTACTTACTTCCAGTAAGGTAAAGTAGTGTGTGTGTATAGGCTGTTGGAAACAAATCCTACTGTAATGTTCTTTAACTACACTGTACTAAAGTTTATTGTAATAAGTGAATTAATGAAAATAAACCTTTTATTTCTCTAGCATTCTGCTGTACCTTTTTTTTTTTAAGTTGCTATGTAGGCTGTGGCCGATACACACATTTTGTGGTGCCATACAATCAAAGTTTTAAATACTAATTATTCTTTTGGCCTGTATCAGTTGTTTTTATTTTAGAGTAAGTGAATACATTCACTTGCTGCTCAGAAGACTTTTATTGGCTGAGTGGAGCTGTTTATATAGGCAGGCTACTTGTTGAAGAAGTGAACCTGACTTCCTTTGAAGAGTTGTCCACGTAGTAGTCTCGTCTGGCAACGTACTCCCTGACGTTGGATAGACCCGGCACCACACAGCAGCTCAGAGCACTACGGTATATGCCCATGTCGTGAACGTCGTACCACTCGTTAGCCTTTTCATCGTAACACTCAACGTTGAAAGTAGTAGTAAAACCGTTGAAGCCGCCAACCACGAACAAAAGATCATCCACCACTTCAATGCCAAAGTTGCTGCGAGGATTGAACATGGTGGGGATTGTGCGCCATGTGTTGGCCACGGGGTTGTAAGCTTCCACACTCCGAAGCCGGTTGACTCCATCAAATCCTCCGACCTGTGAATGCCAAAGGTACGGAGTTGAAACAGGCCTTTCCTCACCCGCTCGCTCGGCCGAATCATGTTGTGCACAAGTAGGAAGGGAACTGGTCGTGCCTCGCTGACCTCGGTTTGAGCACTGCTGGGAGCTTGTGGTCTTAAACACAGTGCTCACGTATTGCAGACTGCTCCCTTGTTCTTTCTGGAGCTTCCAAAAGTAGCTTGTGCAACTGCTCAGATGTTACACTTCTAGAGTTTAAATGCAGCACGTGGGTAAGATAAACAGGACCAAGCAAATGTTCTGTGCTGCTAATGCTGTTAGCTGCAGCAGAAAATAATTTCTTTGCTGCAGCTGCTTAAATATTGTCTGTCCATTTTTCATAACAAAAAGTGCAGGCAATAATATTCTCAGGAGGTATATCAACCGTTCTGGCTCACTCTTCCCTAAATCTCACTTAATAAGCAAATGGCCAGCCTGAAAATCTAGGAATGCAGATGACCCAAAGTAAGTAGCGCAGGGGCTAGGTGGTGGTAACGGCAGAGGTGCCGCTTCTCCCTTACCGCGTACACTTCGTTTCCGTATGCAGTGACACCTACTCCGCTCCTCCTGCTTCTCATTGGGGCTATGAAGGTCCATTGACTTGTTGTGGCATCGTACGCTTCAGCTGTCATCAGGCACTCATTTCCATTGAACCCACCACATATATACACCTGTTCACCGGAGAAAAGGAAAATGTGAGCAGGGCAGTTACGCTCTTGGTGGGAGAACATGCTCAAGAGAGAATGAATGGTGTGGGTGGGGTTTTGGGGGGAGTTTTTTGTGTGTTTTGTTTTTTCTAATGGGAATGGCATGGGTTTGAAGTAATAAAAGTGCAGTCAGTTATCCAGCCAGCAGGGTTTAGACCCGTCACTTCCTGAACTGCATGAAGCAGATAGGCATGGTTTTTGAGCAGGACAAAGTTCTGTCCAGCAGCAAGCGGGCTGTTGGTGATGCTGGCCGTTACCACTCCTGTCTGCACCTCTGCCCACCAGTCAGTTGCTACTCTTAGCTTTATATCTGTAGCACCAGGATTTACTGTCTTCATTTTAAGTGATTCATCAGGTTAAAGGAGCATTTGTTACCTTTCCTGCTCTCACAGCTCCTCTTTTCCATCCAGATGATGAACTCTGAGCAGTAGCTGTGTTTAGCAGGTACGTAGCTGGGGAAGAGGTACTACATACAGGGCTACAGCTTGATAGATCCTCGCTAGATAAAGAGGCTGAGCTCCATGGAAGCCCCAACCTCTGAATGTGCCATATGAAAGGTACTTGCTCACGGTGTAGTGCTGATGTGTGTTTGGTTCCTTGTCCTGCTCACCATACTTCCACCCTAACTGCTTTCTGTAATCTCATGGCCCATTTACCTTTTCATGCAGCGTGGTCGCACTGGCATCGCTTCTTTGCTCGTGCATGGGGGCAATCAGTGTCCACTGGTTGGTCTCTGGCTCGTACCGTTCTGCCGTGTTGAGGCGCATGTATCCATCAAACCCTCCCATGGCGTAGATGAAGTTGTTGAGGATGGTGACGCTGATGTAGCAGCGCCGTGAGTGCATGGGTGCAACCTGCTGCCATGTCTTCTTAAGTGGGTCAAACCGCTTGACGCTATTGAAATAATCCACGCTGTCAAATCCTCCGATAACGTAGACAAAACCTTTTAAATAAGCCGTGCCGTGATAGGCAAGGGGACTTTCTTGCTCACACGTGACATTCACCCACTTGTCTGCACGGGCATCGTACGTCTCGATGGCGTTGGTTGGGCTCCCCCCGCTCCAGCCTCCGATAGCAAACAAGATGGCATAGGGCAGGCGAGGCCGGCTGAGCGGGTTGGTGAAATCCAAAGATGGGCCGTGCATATTGAGGTTGTACATTTCCGTCAGCGTGTTTATGATGAGAACTTTGCACTCCTCGTTGTCCCTCACGTATTCGTGTGTTTTGACGTTGTTCATGAAGTATTCTGCTTGCATCAGTGCCAGTCGAACCTGCAAAATGCAAAAAGCAGGTTAGAATATTGATGCAGATGGATTACATCTTGGTATCCTTCATGGATAGCTCCGATGCTGGATGGCTTTGCTTTCAGGCTACGGTGTTGTGTAAAGTTTATTAGAGAACCAGAGAATTAAATGCCTAGTTTTTAGCTAGTCCCGAAAGGGGTGTGCAAGGGTAAATTACTTGATTTCACGGCAGGGAGTCTGCCACAGCTTTGGCACGGTGCTTTCCTGTACGCAGGCTGAAACTGCCCTAACGCCTGCTGCTGTTTGCATAGTGTAGCTTGTCTAGGCAAATGCTCGTAAACTTTGTGTGCGGAGAGATAACGTCGTCCCATGTGAACTTTGGCCCTTCCTGGATGTGAGGAACAGTTAAACTTAAGCTCTAAACATGAGGAAATGTGCACTTAACAGGTCTGCCCCAACCCCAGCGCAGGATCTTTGACCCGCGCCTCAGCGTAGCAATAGCCTAATGGTCTGAAAGCTCATTTCTTTGTCATCAGTGTTAGGAGGCTGCAATTTCCTCCGGTCTTACAAGAAAAGCAAAGGGGCTCTGGCTCAGCTGCCCCATGCCCAGCTCTGCAGGGCCCACGCCGTGACAGCACCGACCTTGCTCAGCAAGACTGCGATGTGCTGCCTCCTGTTCTGCAGGTCGTGAGCAATCCATTTCAGAATAGCCTCGAACACGACATCTTCTTGTTTCACGTTGAGCTCATCCTTCTCAATGATGTCCTTTAGCTCGTTGACGGACAGGTCTAGAAACTCTGTAGAGACCTTGGCCATCTCCTCGAAGTGGTGGAGGATGAACACGTAGGCTGCTTCTCGCAGGTCGGGACAGTGGTAATAATCTGTGAGTCTGCAGATGCCGATGCAATTTTCGAAGCATAGCTGGGATTTTAAGAACTCGCAGCACAGTCTGATGATGCCCATGATATTGAACTGGTCTGCTGCGGTTAGCAAACTTTCAACATTGTCAGCCATGACCGGTACTGTTCTGGTGTAGGCGTACTCAATAATGAGCCTCATCATTTCAGGTGAAGTGCCGGGGATTTTATATACTATCTTCTCCGCGTTGTTCCAGCTGCTGGTGAACAAAGCCCTGAAAAAAACAAAGTAGTGCTGGGGGAAAAAACAGCTTCGCTGTGTTAAATCCTGACCCCGTTATTCCCTGCGCCGCACAATCTGGGCACTAGCAGTAGCCATGCTGGGAGCCAACGTTGTTTATTAATTAATATTTTACTAGCTGGTTGTTTTAAAAAGGAGTCACAGCCTCTGACTGTGGGCACAGAGCAACAGGGCGAGTGGTCATCTTGCTTCAACAAGAATATCGGAGAGTAATGGCGTGTGGGGAAGGAAAACCTCCTGCCCGATGGCAGAGAAGCCAGGCTGGCCACGCTCCCAGCCCTGCGCCGCATCTGGGGGTCCGTCAGACACCACTTCCAGAGCTGCCGTTGGATACTGGGTTGTGGATTAATTCTGGTGCCCAGGGAGGTACCGGGACTATGGGGAACTGCTGGATGAGAGTTTTGGTCCTGATGGAAGCCCTGGAGATACACTAAGGCAGTGTGCCACAGACTGGGAAATACTGTCTGTCCCCATCCCCTCTTGTTTCAAGCACTGACCTGAAATAGTGACTGCAGCTACAGAGGATGTTCTTGTGAGCATTGAATTCAATACCATCCACACTGATGATCACATCACAGAGTTTCCCTTCCAGGCGAAGCTCGTTGAAGACGGTGCAGGCCATAGCACTCATCTTCCTCTCCATGTGTGAGGATGAATACCTGGTGGGCGCCAAGCTATCACCCATGTTGAAGCCTGAGGCAGTGGAAGGTGCTTCTCTCTCAAGTGCTTACAGGGCTTTGTCCTTGCCCTCCAACGTGTCTCTGAACCCCTGTCTGTCCGGTGGTTCTAGAATATGCCCCATAATGAGATCACACACGCAGGGGGGACCCCTCCACAGGCAACGGGGTCCTGGTCTTCCCGGCCCCCTCGCCCCTGGCTGCCCACAGCCTTCGCTTAACCACAGCCCAAATTACTCTGGACCCTGTACGTACACCCTGCTGATGGCTGCTCTGTGCAAAACCAGTCTTGTCATTCCCCTGCAACTTTTAAATATTATTTATCCTGGGTATAAAGCTCCCCAAATGTAAGCACCGAGTGCTTCTGAAGTGCCCTGGTACCAGCTCACACAGGAGGAAGCTGAGACACAGGCTAGCTCATGTCAGC